CCACAGGCATCCCTAACTCTAGCACGCTAAGACTTTCAAATCTTCGAATGCGTTTGTTGCGTCTCTGTTTGGCATTCAAAGTTATAGGCTGCCGTCTAGCTCAATGGTTGAGTATACCTTCGCCACTGTATGATGCATAACAATTAGCGCTTGCGCACATCTCTCTCGCAAAATTATATCGCGAAAACATCAGCTTGAAGAAGTCTATAGTTGCAGCATCGTGGCAATGAGAACTCCTTCGAATGAGCGACAGTCACCGTGTGGTTTCACATGGCAGATAATACACACGCTGACTATCACACGCGAGCGCTCAATCACGTTGAATTTCGCACGAGGCGTTCAACTGCGTCATAGCACATACCGACGTATCTGTGAAGAGCTGTAAACAAGCAATTCGAACAGTTATCGATAACAACAATCCAATCAAGCGCTGGCCACTTGCAACACTATCAATTCAATAATCATTAGAGTCCTTGAGCAGTAATCAAAACAAAATTTCCTTACCTCGCGAGACGTACCGCACACACACACACACGCACACACACACAGACGACACACACACACACACACACACAGCACACACACAACACCCCACACAACACTCACAAAATCATAAAAGTGTCAGAATTGAATGCGTAAATGTTTTCACATTGCTCCTTCACCTACTAGTATAAGAGAAGTTCGAGATTCTGTTAGACCATGCGGGAGCGGTTATTAAATGTAATTAATTTCAAGTGTTCACGAATAATTTCATACAATCAAGTGTTAGTAATCTCATTAGAACACCCTCGTTGAGCTAAAGAGTATTACTCGTTTTAGAGAGACTTAAAAACAGACTAAAGATCATCACGTAGATGTTAAAATGACACAAACACTGCACTTACACGCGGTAACGGCGCATCCTCAGCACACAAGTACAACACACGTGGCCCAAAGCAGTCACAACTATCCTCTACCTTAACCCTCAACCCTTAACGCGACTAACCCTAACCTAAATCCCTAAACAATAACTCTAAACCGACTACCGGCTATCTTAATACAACCCGTTCGCACTCACGAACGACACTACAGCACGCACACCCACATCGCACACACAAACAAACACACGCTCACACACACACACACACACACCACACACACACACACACACACACACCTCGCGCGCGCGCGCGCGCGCCCATACACGTACACACGCACACACAGGCACACACAAACAAACACACACCACACACACACACACACACACACACACACACACACAGACAACACAACACACACACACACACACACACACACACACACACCACACAAACACCGACTACACGCCCACATAGAGAGAGCTAGAGAGGGCGACAAAACGATTATAGGCCAATATCTATTTGGATAAATAATTTGGTCCAGTGAACTGCGCCGCGACTGACCACAGTAACACCAGAGTACACGGTTCCGGCGATATATATTAGGAAACCTTCTCTTGGCTCGCTATATGATAGCGATATGGATGCTACTCGCTTTGCTAGCGGGGTTACTTAACACGAACACTCTTGCTTTGTAGCAAGTCTTTTAGTGATTATTGTAATTCGCTATCTGGTGGTGAGACCACGAAACTTGCCACCTGGGCCATGTGGCATACCGATATTTGGCTACGTCCTATGCTTATATAGGACCGGTTATCCATGGGATATCATCTTCAAAAGGAGAGAGAAATATGGCGACATTTGGAGCATGTATCTCGGATCACGGCTGGTTGTTGTGCTGCATAACTGGAAGTTGGCGAAAGAAGCGCTGATAGACCAAGCAGATCATACGTCCTTCAAAGCTAGTCAGCACAGCTTGAAAGTCCAGTGCGATGGCGGCGGTGGTTTAGTCCATTCGAATGGCCGACAATGGAAAGAACATCGGAGATTTTTGCTGAAATCACTGAGGGGATTTGGTGTTGGAACAAAGTCTATCGAAGAGAGAATTATGGAAGAAGTAGATTACCTAACAACGCAGATGGCGGCGCAACAAGGCAAGCCCTTCGTCATTTCCAACTACTTGCACTTGGTGTCTGCAAATGTTATGCTTCACGTAGTTTTCGGAAAACGATTTGACCTTGATAACAAGGACTTTCATGTACTTGTACCAGCAATACTTGGCATATTTCATGACCAAGACGAATTTGTGAACCCTTTGATTTATTTACCATGGTTAAGGAATTTGCCGATTATCCGCACTAGATATAACAAATACTTTAGCGATCTCTGCACTGTTATAAACTGGTGTAAGCAGTAAATAGCTGAACATCGTTCCACCTATGATGCAAACTGCATTCGGGATGTCGTCGATGACTATATCAGAGAACAAAAGGAACAGTTCAAGTTGCTAGGTGAAGACAGTACATTTACTGAGGGCCAGTTCGCAAAAACCATGTTTGATCTTCTCATCGCTGGCATCGAGACCTTCAGCACCACCTTTGACTGGTTCGCACTCTGCACGGCTATGTATACCGATGTTCAGAGCAAAGTGCGTACAGAGATTGATGAGGTAATCGGGACAAGGCTGCCAACTTACGAAGATCGTCTGAAGATGCCCTACACAGAGGCTACCTGTATGGAGCTGCAGAGGATTGGGAATATTGGCATGTCCTTACTTCTCCGCACGGTCACCAAAGGTATTGAACTTGGAGGACACAACATTCCGGCAGGCGCGTCTCTGTTAGTCAATGCGTACACTATGCAGATTGATGAAGACTATTGGAAGAACCCCGATGAGCTTAATCCGGACAGATTTCTTGATGGTAGCGGTAAAGTCATCGTGAAACCGGACTCGTTCATGCCATTTTCGTTGGGTCGCAGAAACTGCATCGGCGAATCACTAGGTAGAACGTCCATCTTACAAAAATTCGAACTTACGTTTCCGAAAGGAGCCCCGCTACCAACCACGGAGCACATATCTCGCGGTATTACTATGGCTCCGACCCCTTATGAGATATGCGCAATACAGAGATAGTTTTATAACCAATCCATATATTGAAATATGTGTTAGAATTACGACTATTGAGTTGTTCAACATTATATGTTGAATTTGCAGATTAGCAAGAAACTGATTTGTTATAATATTGATCAAGGGCGGAATCAAGTATTTCTCGAATTAAAACAGTTATATGTGTTAGAATTATGACTATTGAGTTGTTCAATAATATATGCTGAATTTGCAGATGAGAACAGACCACTATTAAATCCTCCATAAGATCCTATACTTAGGAATTGAATTACAGGAGCTTAAAAATTGTATTTCGACCGTTTTCGACCGAGTGGCAATATTAAAGCTAGGTAGCCATGTACTTCAGCTGTGCACCATGAGAGTTATGCATATGTTGTCCAGCGTTTTAAAAAAAATGTCGCGAATTTACTAACCGACACCACATTTGTCCCTGAAAAACTGTCGCGCAGTCGAATACGGGCCATACATTAAAAGAATTTGTTTTAAATTACCAGTAACCATCCACCCATCTCCATGTGCATGTCATTGCCACACACGATAGCCAGCCTAAATAATACAACCACAAAACATCGCGTCAGCTTTAATGCACGAGCTGCGGGCCTTCCGATTGGTCGGCCGATGACGCGTCACATTCTCTAACCTAACAGCGTAATGAACCGGTAGTGATTTAATAGTGGTCACGTGTCAGATTAACAAAAAGCTGATGGGTTATAACATTGATCGAAGAAAACCACGCTATACTGAGTGCGGATAACTGGGTTCAACGAACAATAGTCCGCGGTTTTACATATAGTACACACGTAAACTATATGTCAAAATGTATGACGCTGTATAAGCTTAATGCATCGTCCGTCAAGTATCCTGCAAAGAGCGTAGTAGCAATAATGGACACATCGCACCCGCGACGCACGCACGCCACGCACGTACGCCGTTCTTACGCGCACGCACGCACGCACTTCCACGCGACACTCACGCGCAGACAGCCTAGCTGGTAGTCATGCGTTAATAGAAGAAATTGACCTATTTTAAAACATTGTACTGTCTTATCCGGTTTAACCCCATAGGTCCACTGCAATAACAACCTGGCCAGTGCAGCTGGCTGTGGTGGCGGATGCGTGAGAGCTGGGGTGGGGTGGGAGTACGACAGCAGAGTGATGCATCATTGTGTAACGACGACCCAGTGTGAAATTGACTCCTTATAATCCGTTTTCACGTCGTATATGTCGGCCCTTAACAGAAGCGGTCTTTACCAATATTAACCTTATTTCCCTATGTGAAACGCTCGTCCATAATATTGTATCCAAATCGATGACAAAGTCATCGCGACGCAACTGCATAATGACAGCATATGTCAATGTTCATAAATATTTGCAAGCCTGTTGGTAAAGCTGCAGTGCCTGAAAAGTTTAGGCGGCATTAATACTTGCAAGCCTAGTGTTAAAGACTGCAGGCTAAGTATCACGGCATGCAACAAAGATTGCAATTCCATTTGCAATTATCGTTACTACGCTACTTATTGCTCAGTGAATTATTAATTTTTGATTCACATTAATATAAACAACATTGTACATTTAAAATTATAATTCACTGCACCACGATAGTGTCGTATGAAACAGATCGACTGTTATGAAAGTATCACTTGTGCTCTCCTTTCAGGCTGCGCCTCATGAACGGGGTGGACTTTCTCTTTAATCCGCACAGCTATAGCAATATTACGAAGCAGTATCCCGCATAATCCCGTGCAGGACACGGCGCGTCTAGAACATTTCGCCTCCTCTAGATGAAGGATCTTTAGATGCGATTACCTGCCACACCGGAAAACTAAATCACACACACACAACACGCACAACACACCACACACCCACCCACACCGTGCCCCATTACACTGACACACGCACACACACCGACACACACACAACAAACACACGCACACACAACACACACACACACACACCACACACACACACACACACAAACACACTCTCGCGCGGCGCGCCCGCGCCCCATACACGTTACACACGCACGACACGGCACACACAAACAAACACACACACACACACACACACACACAACTACACACAGACACACAACCACACACACACACACACCACACACACACCCACCACACCGACTCACGCCTACATAGAGAAGCATAGTCGAGGGCGACAAACACATATATAGGCAATATCTATTATGGATAAACATAATTGTCCAGTGTAACTGCGCGCGACTGCCACCACAGTAACACCAGGAGTTACACCGTCCGGCATATATATTAGGAAAACCTTCTCTTGGCTCGCTATATGTAAGCGTATTTATAGATTACTCGCTTTGCTACTGCGGTTACTTTAACACGAACACTGCTGCTTTGCTAGCAAGTCTCTTTATCATTATTTGTAATTCGCCTATTCTAGCGTGGGAGACACGAAACTTGCACCGGGCATAGTGCATACTCGCATATTTCAGTAACCTCCTAGTCCTCTCTCACCGGGTATCCATGGTATTCATCTGCAAAATGGCATCCGAGAAATATCGGCGACATTTGGAGCATTGTATCTCGGATCACGGCTGGTTGTTGCTTTGCTGGCATAACGGAAGTTGGCGAAAGAGAGCGCTGATTAGACCAAGCAGATCATGTACAGTCTTTCAATCTATCAGCATGGCCTTAAGTTGCCAAACTGATAAGGAGGCCGGGGGTTTAGTTCACGCTATACGGCGACAATGGAACGAACATCGGGATTCTTGCTAAATTCCATGAACGGGTATTTCGGTGTGACAAAAGTCTATCGTAGCAGAGGAAATTATGAGAAAGAGAAGATTATCTAACGACGCAGTATGGGACGCAGAACAACGCAAGCCCTTCGTATTTTTCCCAACTACTGACATTGATGTCTACGCATGTTATTTCTTGCACATACCGTTTTCGCCGAAACGATTGAATTAATAATACGGAATTTATTACTTGTCATGCTGCATTACGTCGTATGGTCCATGACTAGAAGAGTTTTGTAAAACCTTTGATTTAATTTGCATGTTAAGGCATTTCCATTTCATATAACGACGAAATATACCAAAATCTTAACATCTATGACCACTGTTTTGAATTGGTGTGTAGCAAGAAATATCTGACTCGATCTCACCTAGTGTGATACAAACTGATCCGGGATGTCGTCGATGACTTATATCAGAGAACAAAAGAAACAGTTCCAGGTGCTAGTGAAGGAAAAGTACAATTTACTGAGGGCCCGAGTTTACAAAAAACCCTTGTTGTGCCATCTTCTACCGCCTATCCTCGCTGGCATCGAGCGGACCTTCAGCACACCTGTGTGCAACTGGTTTCGCACTCTACATGCGCTATTGTATCCCGATGTTTCAGATGCAAGTGCAGTGGCAAGCATGATGAAGGTAATCGGACAAGCTGGCCAACTTACGAGCAATCCGCTCTGAAGAGCCCTACAGAGGCCTTACTGTCATGGAGCTGCAGAGATCTCCCGAAATCATTTGATGATCCTGTTCATCCGTACGGTCACCAACGATGTTGAACTTAATGGTTACAATATTCCAGAAGGAACTTCATTATTAGTAAAACGTGTACACTATGCAGATGGATGAGGAATATTGGAAAAATCCCGATGAAGTTAAACAGAAAGATTTATTGATGATGAGGAAAGGTTACTAAACCGCACTCATATATGCCATTTTCAATTGGGTCGCAGAAACTGCATCGGTGAGTCTCTGGCAGAATGGAACTGTCCTGTTTCTTACGTCAATCATTCAAAAATTTGAATTGAAACTTCCAGAGGGTGCCAAAATACCAAGCACTGATCATATATCCAAAGGAATAACAATGGTTCCGAAAATGTACAAACTTTGCGCAATACAGCGATAGATTCATAAAAATCCATTTGTCTGAATGTATGCGTGTGTGAGGGTGGGGGAGCTATAGTGTTTGGGTTATTAGTGTGCGCACAAATATTTTGTCTAATATATATATATATATATATATTTTTTATGTATATAGCAATTTATTAGTTGTATTATATAGTATATATATATATAATCAATTTAAATAAATAAAATCATTACAAACCAAGTTTTCTTCTTTCCTATTAAACTTCTTTTAATCACTAGCTATGGTTCTTGACTTATTTGTCTGGGTATTTCTGTCAACAGAACATTCACAATTAAAATAGTCACTGATATCAGAGCAACCCTTATTATTATCAATTATTGTTCCGCCAGAAAAACGCACAACGCCAGGGGGCGGTATTGTATATCCGGTAACAGATTTAAGTGCTAGTTATTGGTGTTGTACAACAATAGGGAACGTCCGTAGGCAGCAGCCCTGAATTTGCAACGAACAGAAATTCATTAAAAATACTCAGCGAGCTTCATCGCATACACAAAATACGCTTTATTTATGCTAAATAACCACGGATTCAAGGTCTAAACTCCGTTCGAAAATTTTACCAGCTAAATGATGCGCATTTCCAGAAAGTAGTTGGATGCTATTTCAAACACGAAAACGGGGGAGCGGACACAATAACTACACCAACTGACAGGATGGCACAATTACACGGGGAGTCTAATCTCATTTCTCATGGTTTCTAGACGTCCACGTAGCACCAACCTTGCGTGCATAATGCAAATTAAGTGCACTCTAGTGTCGAATTTTACCGCAAAAATTCAAAAGAAGGCATTTTCCAGAGACGAAATAGTGCAACACTAGTAAACAATTAGCGAAGGCTACTATTGTTATGCCACCTTTTAATTTTGTTTCCTGCATGTCGTACGATGGCAGGTAATACGGTGGGAAATCAGCCAATGATCGCTGGGACAGTCAAGAATAAAATCGGTTTTTAGTATATCAGTGTATTTGAATTATTTATTTCTAAAAAAAAAACTCTTTGAAATTGTTAAATTCAGAAACTAGAATCCTTGCTGAATTTCACAGTGTGTGTGCTCACTCAACTGCTGAGCTCAACCAGCGTAGCACATATAAAGATGCGATATAAGAATCGTGTGCGTGCGTGTATGCGTGTGCGTGCGTGTGCCCGTGTCTGTGTGTGAGCGCCTCTGACGTGCGCGCGTGGCGTGCGTGTGTGACATGCACGCGTGATATATATAAAGGGATTCTAGGTTAAATTGACTACGTTACGAATTTTCTATGGTAACATTTGTAAAATGTTTGTTGCCATTTTTTTACATTAAAAGTAAGAACTAACGGGACTAAACGTATCGTCAAATTTTTACCTGATAACTCTCAACTAGTTAAAAATCCAAAAAAACCTGGACGATTTGATATTAGTGTTCCTAACATTAATTGCTTGCTATGGGCTATGTATGCGTCACGAGTGTATGTTCACATTGAACAATATAGTAAAATAAGAAGTATAATGCATTTTAGCAAGTAGTCGGATCCCGTCTCCAACACGAAAACGGCGGACCGGTTACCATGACCACGCAACGACACAATTACACAACAAGACCAATCATACTGTTCATGCTTTCAGACGTCTATAGGGCATCTACCTTGCGTGAATAATGCAAAACTAGCACACTCTAGTAACGAATATTTTCGCGAGAAAGATCAGAAAATGCATTTTTCAGAGACGAAATAGTCCAACATTGGGGAACAATTGGCGGAAGACTAGTGATGTCTGCTTCCTATAAGTGCCTCACATATACATTTTTCTAGGAAAGTAACGCGAACTCTCGGAGGCAATTCATGTAAACGTACCCTAAACAAAATGCTAAGCTCGACCAGCGTAACAGAATATATAGATGCATAATCATTATTTTGCGTACGTGTGTGCGTTTGCGTGCGTGTGTCCGTGTCTGTGCGCGAATGCGCGAGAACGTGCGTGACGTGCGTGAGTGCGTGCGAGCGGTTGCGTGCGTGCGTGCGTGCGTGTGTGTGCATCATTACTCTTACTCTTCTTTGCAGGATACTTGACGGACGATGCATTAAGAGTCATATATTTTGACATATAGTTTACGTGTAGACTAATGTAAAACCGCGGACTATTGTTCGTTTGAACCCAGTTATCCGCACTCAGTATAGCGTGGTTTTCTTCGATCTATATTATAACCAATCAGTTTTTTGTTAATCTGCAAATTCAGAATATATTATTGAACATCTCAATAGTCGTAATTCTAACACATATAACTGTTTTAATTCGAGAAACACTTGATTCCGTTCTCGATCAATATTATAACAAATCAGTTTCTTGCTAGTCTGCAAATTCAGCATATATTATTGAACAACTCAATAGTCGTAATTCTAACACATATAACTGTTTTAATTCGAGAAACACTTGATTCCGCCCTCGATCAATATTATAACCAGATGATTCACACGTGAATTAAAGGTGAGATGTGTAAATGTATAAAATGATATCTGATGTATAATGTATTTATATTAAAACATATTAGAAAAAATAATGTCAATATTAGAGATATCATCACTACATAACTGTGTGCTAAGACCCGACTAACATTTAAAAGTTTTATATAGAGACAGTTTGAAATATACATGTGTAATAGACTGACAATATATGGCTTCGCTGATGGTTTGTGGCGGCCATTTTGAATTCTTGGCTTTCAATGGTCGTATGTTGTGGGTGTAATTAGTTTAGGAATGTGCATGACTGTTTAATGAGCAAAACAATATCAAATGTTTGAAGATTGACCGAATATTACAGAAGTTATTGCATGTTTAGCATGCCTACCCCCTTAATTTATACGCACTCCAATGGGAATATATACGATCTGCATTTTTTGTGATAAAAGAAAATTGCCCAAGGGTGCCAATGTGACACTCGGTGGATTCTGGTTCAGGATAGTTTAAAGATCAGGAAACCACAAAAAACCCTGTATATATACCTGATTGCAACGCTCAGTCATTTGGCAACAGGACTATATGCCATTATCGGAGCAATTTCGTCAATATAAAAGGGATTCTAGGTAAAATGACATGCTAGTTACACCTTGTAGTGAGTTGCCGAGCATATATTAGACCGATTCTTCGGCGTTCATTATAAATATTGCCCAGACTGGTTTTCCCAGATACCTGATGGACTATATAGCCATGAAACTCATGTAAACATACCAATGTTGACACATGTTGGCTTACTTGTACACTATGTCGTAAAGATTTTCTGCTAAGCTGAACAAACAGACGTCAATTGGTTGCTGTAATAAGGGTGGGAGTCTAACTACTCACTTCGATTTACTTCTTTTTAGCTTGCCATTATTGTACATCTTGCATGGTCTATAATATGAATCCAGTGAATTGCGCGCAGACGGGTCGCACAGCTAGGCTCGCGTTATAAATCAGGCAACCTTCTCTTGCCTCGCTGTACGATAGCGATATGGATCTCTTCGCTTTGCTATGATGCCACCTATGATGCAAACTGCATTCGGGATGTCGTCGATGATTATATCAGAGAACAAAAGGAACAGTTTAAGTTGCTTGGAGAAGAAAGTACATTTACTGAGAGCCAGTTCGCAAAAACCCTGTCTGATCTTATTATTGCTGGCATCGAGACCTTCAGCACCACCTTTGACTGGTTCGCATTCTACATGGCTATGTGTCCCGATGTTCAGAGCAAGGTGCGTACAGAGATTGATGAGGTAATCGGGACAAGGCTGCCAACTTACGAAGATCGTCTGAAGATGCCCTACACAGAGGCTACCTGTATAGGGCTGCAGAGGATTGGGAATATTGGGCATGGCCTTGTTCTTCGCACGGTCACCAAAGATATTGAACTTGAAGGATACAACATTCCGGCAGGGTCGGCTCTGATAGTCAATGTGTACACTATGCAGATTGACGAAGGATATTGGAAGAACCCCGATGAGCTTAATCCGGACAGATTTCTTGATGGTAGCGGTAACGTCATCGTGAAACCAGGCTCGTTCATGGCATTTTTGTTGGGTCGCAGAAACTGCATCGGCGAATCACTAGGTAGAATGGAACTATTCTTGTCTACGCTCCATCTACACAACGTTTTGCGATTATACGCGACTGTGTACTAAAATGGAAAGCGTTAATTTACTTTGCCGGGCTGCATTAAATACCCACTCGTCAGGACGTGAGGCAAGATAGGGGGGGGATATATATATATATATATATATATAATATATATATATATATATATAGTATCTGGGATCGCTATACAGTTCAGTTGGTTGGATTTCATATCAGCCAGCGGAATGAAATATCATTGTATAATACTCCCTCTAATATGCCATTATCGGCGCAAACTCGTGCTAAATAATAAATTAAAATAAATAACATGCTAATGACACTTGTGGTAAGTTGGAGAGCATATATCAATGCATACATTCAGAGCCAAAACAAGGTCGTGACCTCATTGGGTGTTGCTAGAACGGTCGTCGAAGGAGGGTGCCGTTACGTGGCAGCACTAGTCACTTCGTACGCTTCAAAGTCCAAATCTTCCACAGTCATACTTCCGTGCTAGACATGGCCATATTTTCCTAACTCTAACCCAAACCCTAATCCTAACTCTAACCCTAACCCTGACCCTAATCCTAATCCTAACACAAGTGCAGCCACATCACGTGACCCTCCTTCGACGCCCGTGCTCTAGCAAATCCCGACCTCATTGGTGCAGGTGGAAAGCGACCACCCGCCTAAAGTTTTGAAGAAAAATAATAAACACGGTTAGGTGTACTAAACGTAATTAGTATCATCGCCCGAGTGATTATAGGAAATCCTGCGCGCTGATTGGTCGAGACCTAGGTGAATATTTTTCAATAATCACCTCTAGGGTTTACATTGTAGTGGTGCCAAAAATGGCGGCTAGATTTGTAAATGTTACGGCAAATTTTGTCGTGGCAAATTTTCTTTTTTTTTCAAAGAAAATTTATTTTAAATTAATTAATTATTAATTATTTATTAATTAATAAAAAAAATTTCACTTCGCCTTCGCGAATAATTGCTAAATAAACCTTACACATTAAGTTATTTCACGTATCTCCTCTGAAACCGCCGTAAAGAATGTGCCCATTTTTCCTATTTTCCTATTATCGGGGGGGGGGTCCAATGTGGCGAAGACAATGCGCCATGTCACTAGGCTTTATTTTGCATGACAACGTTACTAAAGCAACATTTCAACGACAACAACATTTCAGCGCGTTCCCCTTTGGCAGGTCGCCATTGCGATCGGTAAGTGCTGCCATATCTACGAACAATTATTAACTAGAAAAAGAGCATGCGTGGCGCTATTTTGGTGCAAATCTGACAGCAGCAGACAACACAGGCGAATCGGCACACAGGCAACATAAATCTTAAATAACTACTCATAATATCGTTATTAGTGTAATTAATAGTGATAACAGTATTAGTATAGCATTCAAGAAGCCATTCAATGTGATAATGTGAGCTTTTCATTGCGTGGAGTGAGTAGATACGGGTTTTCATGTTCAAGTGCGTGAGAATGGGTTTGTACGCCGTATCATAATCATGTGTATGCATTAACCCGACCAGGCTGTGTGACTAACGTCAATATACATTATTGACGTATATTCTTTACGTATACATTCGTGACGGGGTATTCTAACCCTAGCAATACCGTTTCTTGAAGTGTTAGCATATGCATGTACCGTTGTACGTGTGAACTGTATGTAGATGTAGGCGCCTACGAGGCTACGTAAGTGACAGTAGATTGAGATGTGTGACTGTAAACTGAGTGTTACGTATGTGACTATAGACTGAGATGTAACAGTAGACTGAGATGCACGTGTGTGACAGTAGATTAAGATGTATGACTGTAAACTGATACACGTACGTGACTGTAGCCTAAGATGCACGTACGTAACTATAGACTGATATGCACGTATCATGTGACTGTACATTTGAGATGTTGCGTATGTGACTGTAGATTGAGATGTGCGTTATGTGCTGTAGGTTGAGATGCGCATATGTGACTGTAGTGAGATGGCGTATGTGACTGTAGATTGAGATGTGCGTATGTAACTGTAGATTGAGATGTGGTTGTAGCAGTATTCATATTATTTCATGCACTGCACCGACGCGCCATCTGTTATAAGCGCTGTACGTGAGTGAAAGAATCCAACATGGCAGCGCGCCCCTGTCAACATTGTAACTTCGTTCGTGCTTAATAAATCATCTTAACTACAACCAAGACTTGTCGAATACCATTACACGTATGTGACTGTAGATTAAGATGTGCGTATGTGGACTGTAGGTTGAATGTGCGTAGTGACTGTAGATTGAGATGTGCGTATGTGACTCAGACTGCATGTAGACCCAGACCGAGATAGCTCCTGACTTGTTGGTTCTTATAATTAGTTCCTGACTAGGCCTAGGCCTACTTCTTTCTTCGGTGTCCGACATTAGGTTCTGCACGCGCACCAAAACTGTGTAGGCCTACGGGTTTACTTTAGCTTTGACTTTGCATTGAAAAATATAGTGTCTTGTGTCATCTTATAATATTAGGTTTATATATAATATCTTATATTTTTTTTAGGTTATTTATAAACTTTTATTTATTATTATTAGGTTTATTTATTAGGTTTATTTATAATATCTTATAATATTAGTCAATATATAACATTATAGTGGATGATGTGTTTTACCAATGTATCCGTTCCTCAGAACTGTATAGCTCTGTGATACTCACATCTCTCAATGAGACAACTTTGACACTAAATAAAAAAAGTCATAAAGAAACTACCAGGTTTCTCCAAAACCTACACCAGTGCACACAAAGCCATCTCGCATAATGAAAACGAGACCAACAACTACCTCCATGGAATTCCTTCACTCTATTACCCCTACCGGCATGCCTCCATACCGCCTTATTTTAAAACCAAGAGCAATAATCATGCTATTACGCAACCTAGATATAACTAAAGGACTCTGCAACTGCACCAGACTCTACATTAGGAACCTCCACGACTATATTCTAGATGCCGAAAATCTTCAATGGAAGCCAGTCTCACAAAGATCCTCATCCCGTATGTGTTTACTTGCCCATCCGACGCAAACCTTCCCTTCACACATACAGCGGATTCAATTTCCAATCAGACTTGCCTACTCTATGGATATAAACAAGTCCCAGAGCCAGACTTTCGACAAACTCGGACTCTACCCTCCAGCCCTTGTGTTCTCCCACGGCCAGCTATATGTTGCTTTTCATGTGCCAGAGGCTACTCCAACACTACAATCAAGTGGACAAACACTTCATCACAACGGTCTTGTTCTACAAAACAGGACCCTCAGGCAAAATGTTCATTACAAGGAAATCTTTTACAGGACTATGGTAGCACTACCCCATAACCGACCCAACTTTTTAATATCAAATCTACTACTACTACTGTAACCCTGTTTAAATTTTGCTGTTTTTTATGGAATAAACTGAAGGAATGTCTTCATTTTAGCTGGCTGTTTAAATTTTGCTGTTTTTATGGAGAAAACTGAAAGAATGTCTTCATGTCCGCAAATTTAAAAAGGGTAACATTTAAATTTTTAGGAAATTTTACCAGAACCGCAAACAAAACAGCGGCAAATATTTGCCGGCTTACAATATGCCACAGTCGACTTTGGCCAAACATGCGGAGCACGGTTATTTGCTAGTATTAAGTATTCTACATGTGGTTTACCAATAGAAACCGATGACATACCTTGGCTTACTTGTACGCGATATCCACCATAGGCACGCTGAAAGATTAGCACCCGATTGGTTCCTTTTGATAAACGTGAATTTCGTGAAGCGTAATTTTTAACAGACTTTGGACGCATCAGGGTATATAAGAATCCAGTGAACTGAGCGCGAACACTACCGCCGTATATATTACGGAACGCTTGGCTCGCTATATGATAGCGATATGGATCTCCTCGCTTTGCTAGGCGGGTTACTTAACAGGAACACTCTTGCTTTGCTAGCAAGTCTTCTAGTGATTATTGTAATTCGCTATCTGGTGTTGAGACCACGAAACTGGCACCCGGGCCATGTGGCATACCGATATTTGGCTACCTCCTATCCTTATTTAGGACCGGTTATCCATGGGATATCATTTTCAAGAAAGAGAGAAAATATGGCGACATTTGGAGTATGTATCTTGGATCACAACTGGTTGTTGTGCTGCATAACTGGAAGTTGGCGAAAGAAGCGCTGATAGACCAAGCAGATCATACGTCTTTCAGATCTATTCAGCATGGCTTAAAAGTTGCAACTGAAGGAGGCCCGGGGTTTAGTTCACGCTAACGGCCGACAATGGAAGGACATCGGAGATTCTTGTGAAATCACTGAGGGGATTTGGTGTTGGAACAAGTCTATCGAAGAAGAGAATTATGGAAGAAGTAGATTATCTAACAACGCAGATGGCGGCGCAAACAAGGCAAGCCCTTCGGTCATTTCAACTACTTGCACTTGTGGTGTCTCGAATATTATTCTTCACGTAGTTTTTGGAAAACGATATTGACCTGGGATAACAAGGAATTGAATGTACTTATTCGAGCGTTACATGGTATGTTTCATGACCTAGAAGGTTTTGTGAACCACTGATTTACGTACCATGGTTAAGACATTTACCATTTATTCGGACGAAATATACCGAAATGGTTAACATATGGCGACTGTTATAAACTGGAGTAAGAAGCAAATAGCTGACATCGTTCCACATATGATCCAAAATGCATTGCGGGATGTCGTCGATGACTATATCAGAGAACAAAAGGAACAGTTCAAGTTGCGCTTGGAGAAGAAAAGTACATTTACTGAGAGCCAGTTCGCAAAAAAACCCTGTCTGATCTTATTATTGCTGGCATCGAGACCTTCAGCACCACCTTTGACTGGTTCGCATTCTACATGGCTATGTGTCCCGATGTTCAGAGCAAGGTGCGTACAGAGATTGATGAGGTAATCGGGACAAGGCTGCCAACTTACGAAGATCGTCTGAAGATGCCCTACACAGAGGCTACCTGTATGGAGCTGCAGAGGATCGGAAATATTGGCATGGCCTTGTTCATCCGTACGGTCACCAACGATGTTGAACTTAATGGTTACAATATTCCGGCAGGGTCTGCTCTGAGAGTCAATATGTACACTATGCAGATTGATGAAGAATATTGGAAGAACCCCGATGAGCTTAATCCGGACAGATTTCTAGATGGTAGCTGTAAGGTTATGGTGAAACCGGACTCGTTTATGCCATTTTCGTTGGGTCGCAGAAACTGCATCGGCGAATCACTAGGTAAAATGGAACTATTCTTGTTCCTAACGTCCATCTTACAAAAATTCGAACTTACGTTTCCGAAAGGTGCCCCGCTACCAACCACGGAGCACATATGTCGCGGTATTACTATGTCTCCGAAACCTTATGAGATATGCGCAACACAGAGATAGTTTCATAACCAATCCATATATTCAAATATGTGTTAGAATTACGACTATTGCGTTGTTCAACGCTATATGATGAATTTGCAGATTAGCAAGAAACTGATTGGTTATAATATTGATCGAGGGCGGAATCAAGCGGTTCTTGAATTAAAACATTAATATTTGGCTTTCATCGGACTAATATAGAAATAGTGCGCGCATAATAATTAAATGTCAAGCATTACTCAGGTAGGTTAGCATGTTTTAGCTGTTAAAATTCCTGTTTCTTGTGTTATTTGTTAGTTTGTATTTGTTATTTGTAGCCAAGTAGCTTAATTATTAAGTCAGTTACTGTGATAAATTAACCTAATAGCCTGTCGTTTAACTGCGATTACAATATTAATGTGTCCAATGCTGATAATATTCCATTGCTATCTAGCATTCATCCTTTAGTGAATCGATTTAGAAAGTCCAAAAACGTATATATATAAGACACTCAAGAAACATTTTCCATTACATGAGGAATAATTTGATAGAAGAATAACATATACATATATGAAATACTTTGCGGTGATACTTGTCGGTAACATAATCATAATTTAAGGATACACTCAAGGTTTTGTGCGACATTTTATTGATTTTTAATTCTCATTCTATTCGATGGCTGACACTAGGTGCCAACTCGGTACATGCTTATTTCTCCATATATCGATGCATGTGAACTTTGAGAGCATTTTCATTGTTCGCGTACGTGAGTAGTGAAGTAGTGTGTGGTAATGAAAAATGTCAGTAGATGTTTCACATACGTTTACCCATTTCACACACAGGCGGTCGGTCATTGTGAAAAGTAGAAAAACGTTGATTTCTCTGCTTTGATTTCTACGGGAGTAGCCGATGTAGGAATGGATGTTTCTATGTCATCACAACTTGGAAGAATTCAATTTTACACTTTCATTTTTCATATAATATGAGGTATGGTAAATATGAGACTTGACGAAAAATTCTGCCGCGCGATTTTGGTGCATATTGTGCTTAACTTGTGGCCGAAATTCTGCTTTCACACTCTTTGTGGTAACTATAAGAAATATCCGAAATGCCATTTTTACATAAAAATTAAAAATGTGTATTGTCACATAATTAAGTGGTAAACATTTCATGTAATGTTTAGGCTTGAGCCTTAGTGCTTGAGCATGCTTGCTTAAGTGTATCATTAAGAAGACGTTACGTAATTATCTTCATATTTATACGTAATTAGATATTGCCTTGATCTCTGCGGTATTTATCGTGCTTAATTAAATGTCTTATCAAAAAAAAAAAATTCACATCGGATGAGAATTCCTTGTATAATGGTTTATGCACCCTATTTTCGTACTTATTTTTTATTTCATAACAGCTGACCTCTGACAGAATCGGTTTTCACGGCACGCATAACTTCTCTTCGTTGATTTGGTCATATCGGCGGGCCAAACTCTCGCTCCGTCTACACAACGATTATACGCAACTGTGAACTAAAATGTAAAACGTTAATTTACCTTTGCCCCGGGCTGCATTAAATACCCACTCGTCAAGAACGTGAGCAAGATAGGCGGGACGTTTTCTCGAGGCCCCGTCCGTGCAGCTCCGGACTTGCTGTGTGTGTTTAAGACGATATAAATATGTTGACTTATACGTGCAAAGAAACATAAACAGATTTATCAGCTAATGGGGCGGTTATTAAAAGTATAACGTCTAGCTTAATAGACAGAATGTAGACGAAATAGTTCGATAGCGGACCTCACTAATTATCAACTCTTAGGAAACGATCGTGCACCCTGTCATGTTGATAATGGCACATGGGCGTATGGAAATGTGCAGGAGCCATCCATTGTATTTGCAATTGTATTTGCAATTGCATAGTAAGCGATTGCACAATTTGTGCTACAGGTAGTGGCAGATATATCTGGTATATATATATATATATATATATAGTATCTGAGATCGCTATACAGTTCAGTTGGTTCGATTTCATAGCAGCCAGCGGAATGAAATATCATTGTATAATACTACCTATAATATGCCATTATCGGCGCAAACTCGTGCTAAATAATAAAATAGTTATAAATAACATGCTAACGACACCTTGTGGTGAGTTAGAGAGCATATATCAATGCATACATTCAGAGCCAAAACAAGGTCGTGACCTCATTGGAGCAGGTGGAAAGCGACCACCCGCCTAGAGTTTTGAAGAGAAGTAATAAACACGCTTAGGTGTATTAAACGTAAATAACCTTACATATTACATATATTAGGTATTCTACATGTGGTTTACCAATAGAACCCAATGACACGCCTTGGCTTACTTGTACACTATATCCAACCATAGGCACTTCCTGTTAAGCTGAAAGATGAGCACCGATTGGTTCCTTTTGATAAGCGTGATTTACGTTTTTTCATCAGACTTCGGACGCATCAATGGTCTATAAATATCCAGTGAACTGCGCTCAAACGGGTCGCAGTATCGCCGGACTACACACTACCGACGTATATATTACGGAACGCTTGGCTCGCCATATGATAGCAATATGGATCTCCTCGCTTCGTTAAGTGGGTTACTTAACACGAACACTCTTGCTTTGCTAGCAAGTCTTCTAGTGATTATTGTAATTCGCTATCTGGTGGTGAGACCACGAAACCTGCCACCCGGGCCATGTGGCATACCGATATTTGGCTACCTCCTATCCTTATTTAGGACCGGTTATCCATGGGATATCATTTTCAAGAAAAGAGAGAAATATGGCGACATTTGGAGCATGTATCTTGGATCACAACTGGTTGTTGTGCTGCATAACTGGAAGTTGGTAAAAGAAGCGCTGGTAGACCAAGGAGATCATACGTCCTACAGAGCTATTATGCATGGCTTAAATGTTGCAACCGACGGAGGCCGGGGTATAGTTCACTCTAACGGCCGACAATGGAAGGAACATCGGAGATTCTTGCTGAAATCACTGAGGGGATTTGGTGTTGGAACAAAGTCTATCGAAGAGAGAATTATGGAAGAAGTAGATTATCTAACAACGCAGATGGCGAAGCAACAAGGCAAGCCCTTCAGCATTTCCAACTACTTGCACTTGGTGTCTACGAATATTATTCTTCACGTAGTTTTTGGAAAACGATTTGACCTGGATAACAAGGAATTGAATGTACTTCTTCGAGCGTTACATGGTATGTTTCATGACCTAGAAGGTTTTGTGAACCCACTGATTTACGTACCATGGTTAAGACATTTACCATTTATTCGGACGAAATATACCGAAATGGTTAACCATATGACGACTGTTGTAAACTGGAGTAAGAAGCAAATAGCTGAACATCGTTCCACATATGATCCAAAATGCATGCGGGATGTCGTCGATGACTATATCAGAGAACAAAAGGAACAGTTCAAGTTGCTTGGAGAAGAAAGTACATTTACTGAGAGCCAGTTCGCAAAAACCCTGACTGATCTTATTGTTGCTGGCATCGAGACCTTCAGCACCACCTTTGACTGGTTCGCATTCTACATGGCTATGTGTCCCGATGTTCAGAGCAAGGTGCGTGCAGAGATTGATGAGGTAATCGGGACAAGTAGGCTGCCAACTTACGAAGATCGTCTGAAGATGCCCTACACAGAGGCTACATGTATGGAGCTGCAGAGGATTGGGAATATTGCCATGTCCCTGTTCCTCCGAACGGTCACCAAAGATATTGAACTTGAAGGATACAACATTCCGGCAGGGTCGGCTCTGATAGTCAATCTGTACACTATGCAGATTGATGAAGGATATTGGAAGAACCCCGATGAGCTTAATCCGGACAGATTTATTGATGGTAGCGGTAAGGTCATCGTGAAACCAGACTCGTTTATGCCATTTTCGTTGGGTCGCAGAAACTGCATCGGCGAATCACTAGGTAAAATGGAACTATTCTTGTTTCTAACGTCCATCCTACAAAAATTCGAACTTACGTTTCCGAAAGGTGCCCCGCTACCAACCACGGAGCACATATGTCGCGGTATTACTATGGCTCCGAAACCTTATGAGATATGCGCAACACAGAGATAGTTTCATAACCAATCCATATATGCAAATATGTGTTAGAATTACGACTACTGCGTTGTTCAATATTATATGTTGAATTTGCAGATTAGCAAGAAACTGATTTGTTATAATATTGATCGAGGGCGGAATCAAGTGTTTCTCGAATTAAAACAGTTATATGTGTTAGAAATACGACTATTGAGTTGTTCAATAATATATGCTGAATTCGCAAGTTAGCAAGTTATATTACTGATTGGATATAATATTGATCGAGGGCGGAATCAAGTGTTTTTTGAATTAAAACATTAATATTTGGCTTTCATCGGGTTTAATGAAAAAATAGTGAGCGCATAATAATTAATTGTTAAGCAGTAATCAGATTAATTGTTAGGATTCTTGTGCCTCACGTTATTTGTTGACTTCAAGGTAGTTCAATTTTTAGATAAATTATTTTGATAAATTTACCCAATTAAATGTCATTTAATTAATACATATTTATATCAATTACAATATTTGGAAGTGTGTCTAATGCTGGTAGTATTCCATCGTTATCTAGAAGTAGTGATTAGTGGATCGCGTTAGAAACTCTAAAAGCGTAGACATATAAGACACTGAATTAACATATTGCAATACTTGAGGAATGATTTGATCGACGGATATACTTAATATATAAATATACGAAATACTAATAATGATAATTTAAGAAGACATTACTCATCTTTATACGTAATTAGATATTGCCTCGATCTGGGTGGTATTAAATGTACCTAATTAAATGACTTGTCGAAATTAAATAACTTTGCATTCTCCAGATGAGTATTCCATTGAGTATAGTTGAGGCATCTTATTTTCGTACTCATCTTCATTTCGTAACATTTCTGACAGAATCGGTTTCATGAAAGAAAGGAGATGGAACGCACTAATGCAATGTTTTGATTATAGTCAAGTTCATTTCGTAATTTCGTAACTTTTTGGGGGATTTGGAAACCTATACATTTTCGGAATCTGTATAGTATAGGCAATCAGAAAACCAATGTTTACAATTTGCCGGAAGCATGCATGGCGGCCATCTTGGATTTTTAAAATGGCCGCCTTCAAAATGGGCGTTTCTCAATATCTCAGCATCCAGGTAGCCTAGAGTCATAATTTTAACGGCTAAACATACATTTTCAGGGGTGAGGAAGCCAGAGGTACAAAGTAAAATAAGCTAAACATAACCACAAAGCAGATTATCATATTTATTTTATTATAATAAATTTTCTAAATGGCTTAGAACTTCTACATGTAGCAAGTCAAACCTTTAGCATGTCTAGGCAGCTTCTTGCACAACTAAACTTCAATATCATGATAGCATGACAAAATAAGTGTGATATAGCAATATCTTTGATATATAGCAGAAACTTTACACATCATCATCATCACTGTCACTGGTCGGCAACATGTCATTCCTAGAGTCCTCATCATTCTGGCACTAAGTGCTGCACTGGCAGAGGTCTGTGCATGATAAGTTATTGGACCTGCAAGAGCATCGAGATGTTAAACAGTCTGCTCTGCACTGGCATCTCACCATCTCAATGATGGCCTTGGGGCTGGGAGGACCTCAGTTGTGATTGGTTTCACATGATCAGCTGCTGTGTCCTTGTAGAAGCCATGCTGCCGCGGATCCAGGAACTGCTGCTGAGCAATGCTTGCCTAACCCCATACTGTGGCCTGGATCTGGACTCTGTGGATGTGCTGCTTGAGAGCACCAAGGGTGGGAAGCAGCTTGTCACTTTCAGCCATATGCTTGCAGAAAAGATGCCATCGCAGCTCAGGGATGCTCGCAATCTAGATTCCCTTTGGTGCGTATGCAGCACAGACGAATGTAGCCAGCGTTGACAGCAGCTCTTCAGTGACTTCAGCGGCATCTGAAAGCATCTGCAGAGAATTGATGACTTCTCCGCCTGCTTTGAGGTAGACATGCAGCCAGGTTGCTTTGCCCATGCAAGAGAACATCCTAGTGTTGTTTGCCCCCGTAAATGCGTGGAAGGCTGGCTAAGCCTTTGCTCTTTCTGGACCTAGATCTGTCCATATTGGCTGCACTTGGACTACTCCGGAAGCCATCGACATGGACGTGTTTCTCAGCAGAAGGTCATAATGTGCTATGACCAGCACCAGAATATCAGTGTCTGGGTTGAAGACCACCAACTCTGCATCAGGTGGGTGCCTCTGTGATGCCAGCACTGCATGGTAGATCAGCAGTGTGTCCGCCTCTTCGTGATTGTTGTCCTCGATTAGCAGCTCGCTATTGCTCCTAATATGTCCTGCGGCAGATGCGATAACCAGCTTTGACGAGTCTTGGTTGTACTCCAAGATTTTTGCTGCCAGATACTCAGTCAGATCAGCCTTTGTTTTGACGTGGGAAAGGAACCGGCTTATTGGGATGTGCTTGATGCTGGTGTCATCTCTGATCTGATATTAGATCGGATCCTTCCCTTGTCTCCGTTTCTCTCTTGTGGTACTCTTCAGGGAATCAGCCTTGTATGTGTCAAACACCAGAATGATCTCATCACAGTCACAGACTATGTGAGAGACATCAGTCTGGTATTGAAACATTCACTGAGGTCTTTGACTGTCACGACCGTGGCTGGTTTTTTTGTTAGCTTCTGCACGACCACCATACCGTCCACCAGTGCACTTTTTCGACTTGGATGAGGATCTTCAGTGGGTGTGCAGTCCATAGTTTCTGGATCCACTGCATCGCGCTGCAGAACACTTGCATTATGCAGCTGCTGCTGCTGATCTTCATCGGGTGGTTCTGCTGTTTCCAGCTTCTCAAGGAAGTGTATCAACTTTGCCTTGTCAATACATGGCAGCATTGTCCCGTTTGCCGCAAACAGTGCCCTCGATGTCAACGTGAACTCATAGTTGCCGATGGCTTGTTTCTGGTCGATGTCTCGCTTTGACCTGGCAAGGACCATCAGCCTTCCGTACAGATCCTTGGTCTTCTTCAGATCTACAGTCTTGTCTCTGAGTTTCACACTCGTTTTCTTGTTGCCAGACATAAACATGTTGTTGTTGTGTTTCTTTACTGGTGCCCAGCGGCTGACGTCCCCATTGATTCGCTCTGACACGTACTCTTCATACAACTTCTGCCCAGTGACATCAATGTTCAGGATCTGTGGCACATACTCGTCTGGGATGTAGGCATGGGTGATCAGATTGTGCAGCTGGTCACCTTCAGTGGCAAATGGATTGCCATGACTTAGAATCGCAGCCTTGATCTTGTCGATTGCGTCATGCTCCATTTTGACTGCACTTGGTCTAAGGTCATGGTGCTCTGTGACCTTGCCAGCTTCCACATCAAACTGACTCTTGAACTTGCTCGACAGGCATGACAGTTTTGATGCAGCCATGAAAAACCTCTGTCTAGCGTTGGCGTTGTTGGAGATGCCAATCAGTCCAAAGTGAACCTTCATCAGCTTGTTTAGATGTTCGCATGCGTGGTGTACACCAATGGATACAAACAGGATCTCGTTTTTGGTGACGGATATGTTTCCAGCTTTCAGTTCCCTCCAGGTATTGGGGTGGTCTGTTCTCAGGTCATACATGTCTGCGATGTACCGAGACCAGAGTCACTTGTACTTGATCCGGTCCATAGCAAAGAACATCTTGCTCAGTGCTTCTCCAGCTTCGAGATGGAGCACCAGGTCAGCGTTTCGGAATGCCGCCACGAAGAACAGGATTAATTGTCTCCACTCGGTGTAGGTAGTTTATCATTGATTTGAACATGGCATTCTTGGATCTTTGGGCCTCCCAGTCCTGGAATGTCTTCAGCACTTCAGCATTGGTCAAGGCTTGAAGGAGGGTGATGTTGGCATGTTTCACGGATTCAGCCTTTGTACATTTGTTTAAAAAAAAATAGTGAAAAAATAAGCAGCCATTTTGAAAATCTAAGATGGCCGCTTTGTGGTTATGTTTAGCTTATTTTACTTTGTACCACTAGCTTCCTCACCCCTGAAAATGTATGTTTAGCCGTTAAAATCATGACTTTAGGCCACCTGGATGCTGAGATATTGAGAAACACCCATTTTGAAGGCGGCCGTTTCGAAAATCTAAGATGGCCGCTATGCATGCTTTCGGCAAATTGTAAACATTGGTTTTCTGATTGCCTATACTATACAGATTCCAAAAATGTATAGGTTCGCAAATCCCCCTCAAAAAGTTGACAAAATTTAATATCTGGACATAGTGAACTTGACTATTACAGGAAAATGCAGTTTACTTTGCACACTATTGATTGGGGCCCGGACAAAGCTCATGAAATCAATTTCAACTTTCAAGTCTTAATTTCCTCACTTAACTCAATCCCCTCACTATACTCCTAACTTTTAAGCTATCGCTGACGTTGATAACCGCTTGGGAGTCTTAACATCAACAGATACGTACGGTTACCCTTTGACTGAATCAATTTCAAATTCGAAAATTCGAAAACGATCAATGCGATGGAAATAACGTTGATTATATGGCGTGCACTCAGTTTATTATATTTGCATTATTTCGTCGGTGTCAGCGGGGCGCGCTCGCGCTTCAACATGGAGAATACGCGCAAGTATGTAAAGAACTCCTTAAATAAGTTTATTCGGTTGGTTGATAATAGAGCTAACTTGGTAAATTTCTACTCGACCGTGAAGTTCAAACGTACTGCTAGCGTTTCGGGTCTTAACGGGAAACTTTTTCCCCAGCTTTGAAAAAGTCTTCCGTTAGGACGCGAAACGTTAGCAGTACGTTTGAACTACACGGTTGAGAGGAAATTAACCAAGTTAACTCTATGAAAAAAAATGTCTAACATAATTTCGCTTCGTCATCGCCATTAAAGTGCTCGACAGACCTATAAAGGCATTGATCCACCATCCGCTATTTACGGATACACGTTAGATGAGCATGTGTAGTCACCACGGCCGAACTCTCATGTAATGATGATGGATATCATAGAAAATCATCGGAATTAACTACATAAACATGTTGGCCAAGAAATCTGCAGATATTGCTGCATTACGTTATATTATTTTTTGCGCAATGTAAAACTGTTCAGTCGTGACGAGCAGACAGTTTTCGTTAGTGGACCTTGATCTACAACGTGCTCACGTTAACACACGTTCGTGGGCATTGTCACGTAGGTCACAATACTCCGTTGCGGAAAGGTACGGCAGTGCTCTTTGATATTTGCTTAAACGATAGCATTTGATTACACTGACAGTAGCGCATTCAGACCCGTAACGAGCATTTCAGAAGAACTGGACCTTTGTGATCAGAAGATAGACCTTTGGAGTCAGCCAACCTAGCCCGTGTTCTGCATGAATAAAATTATTACATGAATGCCACAGAAACACTGTAAATACTTTCAGAATGTTTCACATTGTAATGACCTATGTACAATTAC